TGTTCACTCACTTCCCGATCTATTTACCCGACGTGTGACAGTTTCATTGTCACAGGTCGGCTCGAACTATGAGGATGAGTGAAAATCACTCACCTCATAGTTCTCCTTTTAAGGCTCCATTCACTTATAGCATTTGCGTTGCCCGCGTGGTTTTCCATGCAAAAGACTGCACGGGACGCAAACGCTATATGTGAAACAACTGCATGGATTCCGCTCGGTTGCGGCTAATATATAGCCTCGAACGCGCGGAATTCGTCATATTTTCGCGCTTGCATTATTTTGGGGGCCGCACGATTATGTACAGCCCGGTCCCTGCAACAGTCTGAACAATGCACATTAAAGTGCATTGTTTTTTCTGTTTAGAGCAGCTCTGCATGAATGCGTACATCCGAAATCGAGCGGAAAGCCGCTCCAGTGTGAATGAAGCCCTAAGGATAATTCCAATTGGGAGACCGGGTGACACCCCGCTGTGACGCCATCGCGCATGCTGTCACCACGCACGTGCGCAAAGACATCATCATGCACGCACTAATTGACTCCTGCCAGCGGCCATCTTAGTGATGGACGCCGGCAGAGAGAGGAGGGGACGCTCACCCGGCAGGATAAGGTGTGCCGCTGGGTCCCCTCCTCTCTCCTGGAACTGTTGGGCTCTCGGTCCTTGACCGAGTGCCTGACTTTTTAGAGGGGATGACACCAAAATGACTGTCAGCCATTTTGGTGTCACCCCTCCAATGGTCGCACCCCCTTGTGACGCCACTGAATATTGGTTAACCTTCATGAGGGGTTAGCAACCTTTTCCACATTAAGTTTCCCATTCACAGGTATTAGACAGCTGGCGTGCCAGTGAACAATAGCGCATTTTAGTCTTAATTGTTTTACATTTTTTAATGCTAATGGCGCATTGAACTCATTATTATTATATAATACTAATGAGTTTATCATAATTAATGAGTTTACCGTGCAATTAGCAGAACAATTATGAGAGCCAATGTTGATTAACTGCTGCACACACATAACATATTCAGCCCTGAAGCATGCACTTTAGGCCTCAGATCAGCCCCAATTCCTGCACCTTACACCTCAGTTCAGCCCCAATTCCTGCACCTTCACATCTCAGATCAGCTCCAATTCCTGCACCTTCATACCTCAGATGAGCCCCAATTCCTGCACCTTCACACCTCAGATCACCCACAATTCCTGCACCTTCACATCTCAGATCACCCCCAATTCCTGCACCTTCACACCTCAGATCAGCCCAAATTCCTGCACCTTCACCCCTTAGATTAGCTTCAATTCCTGCAACTTCACCCCTCAGATTAGCTTCAATTCCTGCACCTTCACCCCTCAGATCCTCCCAATTTCTGCACCATCACACCTTAAATCAGCCCCAATTCCTGCACCTTCACACCTCAGATCAACCCACAATTCCTACACCTTATAGCAGCCCCTATTCTTGCACCATCACAACTTGGATCAACCCCCAATTCCTGCACATACAGACCTCAGATCAGCCCCAATTTCTTCATCTTTACATCTCAGTGTAGCCCCAATTTCTGCTTTGTGGTTATACAAGGTTGCTATATTATTGCAACACACACCATCTTGTAATGTTATAATAGAAGAAGAAAGCATAAACTGACCTCTCCTGCTGCCTGAGCCAGAGAATTCCGCTCTGATGAAGATAAATCTCTGAAGTCTATTCAGAAACCAACACTCCTGGAGGTGTCATTCTCCTGACCAGAAAAGATGGTACATGCATGAATCTATAACCGGCCTTTATAGCAGGGCGCACATTGGAAAGGCTTACAACAATACAAAACACAAAAATTCCCCAGCTTCAACCTGCCAGCCAGCCTGCAACCAAACAAGTAGCCCTGTCAACAGTATGCGTTAAAATCAGAGGTTTTAGTTGCACAAACTTTTGGCCAAAAATATGTAGAAGCCGCACCGCCGCGCCAAAGCACCTCTGCAAAGTGTGGTCCTAACTCTATGTATCCGAGTCTCCAAGTGTGAGCATATTAATGAAGTTGATAAATTACATGGAGGTGTACCTGGAGGTAGCCAACTCCTCCTAATAAGGTGCAGAGACCAACTGGAGTCCCAGCAACCAAAAATGCACGCTTGGACTCCAGTGCGTCCCCCTAACCCAAAATAGTCAAACTAGAAAAAATGGTACATGCATGAATCCGGCCTTTATAGCAGGGCGCACATTGGGAAGGCTTACAACAATACAAAACACAAAAATGGGCCTCCAGTGCGTCCCTGCACCTTATTAGTAGGAGTTGGCTACCTCCAGGTACACCTGCATGTAATTTATCAACTTCATTAATATGCTCACACTTGGAGACTCGGATACATAGAGTTAGGACCACACTTTGCAGAGGTGCCTTGGCGCGGCGGTGTGGCTTCTACATATTTTTGGCCAAAAGTTTGTGCAACTAAAACCTCTGATTTTAACGCATACTGTTGACAGGGCTACTTGTTTGGTTGCAGGCTGGCTGGCAGGCTGAGGCTGGGGAAGTTTTGTGTTTTGTATTGTCATTCTCCTGACCCCCCGTTAATCTCAGTGGTTCCTCTTGTTGACCTTCATATGACTACAGGACACAGTAGTGAGTTAGCCGTCGGTATAATAGACAAGTGAACACACCACAGAACCAAGAGTCTGACACTCCCAGAAGTACCAGTTCCTGAACTGACTTCGGGCAGTGATACCTCTGTATCAGAGCAAAATTTGGATAATATTAACCCTAAGGATCTATCATGTACTAGACATGTGCACCGGCAAAAAAAATTGTTTCGTTTTGATTCGGATTTTGCGTTATTTTGTTTTTCGGGATTCAGGTCCGAAAGTAAATTAGTTTCGGGATTCGGATTCGGACGATATTCGTTAGCGGTAGTCTATATGAATTGTTGTTTCGTTTTCGTTTCGTCAGTTCGTTGCAGCAAATGTCACAATTTCATACAGACTACCACTAACAAATTTTGGAATCGGAAAATTGGATTTGTTTGCATTCATTATACCTGCAATTCGGAATTCGGTTACATCCGAAAATTGTGAATTTCCGAAATTTCGTCCGAATTTCGATTCGGAACGAAACGAATCGCACATGTCTATCACGTACCTGACTGAAGACTCAGCTGAGAAGGAGGCTGCCCATGCACCTCTCGTCTCACACCTCTGGAAGTAGTGACAGGAGATGTAAGGACAGAGCGGAGCACAGGTGCCGGTACTGGTGACTGACCGGTTTTTGAGGAGGCGCTTGAGTGCGTTGGACCAGCTGGTGAATCGGCAGGACCTGGATGACACCGGGACCTCTAGAAACCGGAGCAGGCAACGGCTGTGAGGCCAACGGAGCACTGGCAGGATGTCGTTACCCAGGATGCTGATGGAGCGATCCACCAAGTGGCAGACCAGGAGTGAAGTCAGGTTCAAGCCGAGGTCATACACAGGGAGCCGAATCTTGAGGTGCCGAATCACAGATCAGGAGCAGGGTCAGGAAATGTAAGCCAAGAGATCAGAGAGCAGAGGTACCGAATTAGGAGGAGGAGGCGGAGTCAAATAGTCACAAGCCGGGTTCATACACAGGATGTCAGGACACAAGAACAGAGTACAGGGCACACAGGGACTAGCTGAAGACCACTCAGCAACTTGGTCATGGCTTCATGACCAAGTTGCTGTTTAAATAGGATAGTGTGCACGTTAATGAGCGTGCACCTGTACGCTAACAAGCACGTTTCTGCGCGCTGACGTGCGTGCGCTTTTGCGTGTGAACGTTCCCGTACGCATACGTTCACATGCTAAAGCGCGTTTTCCAGGAAGTTTGGGCAATGGATTGCATACTTGTGTGTGTGCATGTTTTTGAGCAGGAGTCCATCTGCAGGTAAGTCTCCTACAGGATCATGGGAAAGCTAAGGATCCCAAACACCATGAGAAGGCAATACTATATATTGTGCAGGAGTTTATTCTTTTTGGATCCTTTTTTCCATGGCCTCCCTTCTGCAGCCTCTGTTCACATGGAGCTCAGGCATGCTTTTGGAAACAAAAGTTATTTCCAGAGAACTAATCGAAGATTCAGAAAACACTCTTTCTGGAAAAGCAGTGATGTGTGATGATGAATGTATCGTGCTCATATTCACAACTTGTTACTTTAACTAGCAATGAGCGAAATTTAATTCAATGGAAATGTTGCCATTGTGAATAAATGCATTGGAGTCAATAGGGAAGGTGAAACATAAGTGGTATGTGGTAGTTATTAAAGGTACATTGGGCTTTAAATGCTCTCCGGGGGGTGCAGATGTTCTTTTCAACTGTCCAGAGCGACATCATTGAAGTCTATTGGGCCAAATTGCACGAAATCCGCTGAAAAATAGGTCAAGGTCGAGCGACAAGCTGCAGGCGACATTGAGCTGTGAGATGTGAACCGCTCCATTGAAATGCATTGGATGCGCTACATTGAGCGACATTGAGCTGATATTTGAGCGATTTTGGAGCTGAAATTGCGTTACAAATCGCTCAATGTGAATGGAGTCTTAGGGCTACTTTACTCTATCTATCTATCTATCTATCTATCTATCTATCTATCTATCTATCTATCTATCTATCTATCTTATTTTTATTATATACATATTCAGAAACTATCTCTTCATTTACTATACCCCTCTCTCCTTTTCTATCAGTCTATCTACTGCATGTATCTATCTATCTGTCTATCTATCTATCTATCTATCTATCTATCTATCTATCTATCTATCTATCTATCTATCTCATGTACCTCACTGTATATTACGTAGTTTGCAGTATTCATTGGGTAAATTTCAATACTGCAGAAGAATAGACGCCTAGTGAAAAGAGAAAAAAACGTGGAAAGAAGGAAGGATTGGTATGAGAGATCATTAAGTCACTGAAATACAATTCCCTTCTGTGGTCCTGGAGCAGCAGGCTCTGTATTACACAATCGCCTCTGCTGCTTCCTCACTTACTCCAGCCTTACTCACTGTCCCTATAGCAACTCTAAGGATGAAGACTATGTTAGAAGAGACGGGACTTCAAGAAGTAAGTGAATGATGTTCTTTTTTAAATGTGTCTTCTTTTTATTTATTTTTTTATTTACCTCTAATTTATAACAATTTACGTTCTTCCTTTTTTTTTTCGTAATAAGGCAGAAGTATTAAAGCCCAAAAAGTGGAATTCTAAAAAATGTGCGATTTTGGCGGTATCTGTCTGCGTCGTGGTGGTTGTATCGCTGACGCTGCTCTTCGTTTTGAAGGATTTCTGGAAACAGCTTCCAGAGAAGGTAAGTCACCTGCCGTAGTGCCCGAGCATTTAATATGGATATTATTTTTTTCATTGATCGCAGTGAGGTCATAGATATGACATCATATTGACATTGAATCAAAAGATTTTGGGGAATTTACTCAAATGCTTGCATGCGCATGAGGGCAGAATCAACGAGTTTCCTTCAAATAAATATTGTAACATTGTAGAATTTGTATTCCCTTTAATGCTGGTCTATGAAGCTGGTATAGACCTGACAGCCTATATATAATTTACATATATTTATAAAGCAGTACATTACAGTGAAGGATTCACCTGCAGTAAATGATTGATGAAATTCCCATTCACTGCTTTATAAATATGCCCTTCAGGGCATTCACTTCAATTTATCCTTTTATCTGCCATGGACTGGCAAAAATAATTTAAACTGCATGTAAAGCCCAAATTTTTGTCTTTTGGGTTTTTTCTTTTGTTTTTTTTTTTTAGCTTTTGTGCGTACCTGAGAGTAGAGAGGCAGCAGAGGGTACTGATGACAGAGTACGGGGATACATTTGGAGATGCGGGATGCACAGGGGTGCACTTGGAAGCATGGGATGCACAAGGTTGCACTTGGAAGTATGGGGTGTGCACAGGGGTGCACTTGGGGACTAGGATCACCTTATGGCACACTAGGAGATGAGGTGTGGGGGTGTACAGGGCACATTTGGAGATGGGGGGTGTACAGGGCACATTTGGAGATGGGGGGTGTACAAGACACATTTGGAGACTTAGAGTGCACAGGGGCACACTTGGAGTTACAGGTCACACAGGGGCACAACTGAAAACATGGGAGCACACAGGGGCAAATTTTGGAGATATGGGAACACATACAGGAGCATTTTGCAACATGGAGTATATGGGGCGCACTGAGGCATACTTGGTGACAGGTGGGTTCACAGAGTGCACAGAAGACACTGTACAGTTGTACTGGGAGCACTTGCAGATATTGGGCACTGGGGGTAAAGAGAAACTGAGGCATATGAAGGGCAAAGGTGGACACAGTGGCACAGGAGGCAATGGGTAACAAG